CGTCCCACCGGTGCCTCACTGGTCCCACCCATTGTCCTCACTGCTCCCACCGGTGCCTCCTCACTGGGTCCCACCCGTCCTCACTGGTCCCACCGGTCCTCATGCCCCACCTGTCCTCACTGCTCCACCGTGTCCTCACTGTCCCACCTGTCCTCACTGGGCCCACCCTGCTCCTCACTGTCCCACGCTGTCCTCACTGCGCCCACCCTGTCCTCACTGTTCCCACCGTGACCGTGTCCTCACTGTGCTACCCTGTCCTCACTGTCCCACCGTGTCCTCACTGCCCCACCCTGTCCTCACTGTCCCACCGTGTCCTCACTGTCCCACGCTGTCCTCACTGCCCCACCCTGTCCTCACTGTCCCACCCTGTCCTCACTGTGCTACCCTGTCCTCACTGTCCCACTGTGTCCTCACTGCCCCACCCTGTCCTCACTGTCCCACCCCGTCCTCACTGTCCTACCATGTCTTCACTGCCCCACCGTGTCCTCACTTTGAGTGGTTTCCATGCCGTCCCAGGTGACCTCCCCAAATCTGGAGAGAGGGTTTGTGCACGGAGCCCTGTCTGCCGCAGGCCAGTCTGGGAAGTGTGAAATGTGACTGTGTCCCCTTGAACGGCGCCCCACACTTCCTGGTGATTTTTGAAGGGACTTGCTAGGCCAGTGGTGCAGAGCGTGACCACGTCAGTAGGGGATGGTTTATTCAGCACTGGAGTTTGGGAGGGGCATCCGGCAGGGGGGAGCTGCACCTGCCCCCCTGCACCTCCTAAGCCTGCAGGGCGCGGGTGCCTGTCCTGCGAGGACGCAGGCGGCAGTTCCATCCGACGTGGATCCGGTCCCGCAGGCCCGAGCGGGTCTAGAAGAGTGGGCGGCAGCAGAGGCCGAGGCGGGTCCAGGCTGGGGCGAGGGCTTCTCCGGCAGGGTCCCGCCGAGTCTGCGGGCCTGAGTCGTTCGGCGCCGGTTCGCTCCTCTCAGGACGCGCGGGCTCCCACGCGCTCCGCCACCAGCGGGGCAGTCAGCGACAGCCGGCAGGTGGCGCGGGCGCGGGCGCGGGCGCGCAGCCTCCGCAGGCGGCACAGCAGCAGCGCCAGCAGCAGCGCGTGCAGCAGCCCGAGCCCGAGGAGCGCGCACTGCGCCGCCAGCGCCCCCCAGCACAGCGGACCCGGCGCACAGGCGGTGCGCAGCTCGTCCTCTGCCAGGTAGGGCAGCAGGCGGCCGCGCAGCGCAGAGGGCTCGGCGCAGCGCAGGTCGTGATAGGGCGCGCGCTCGGGGCGGCCGGCCAGCCAGGCGCGCAGCGGCACCAGGTGGCAGTCGCAGCGCCAGGGGTTGCCGCTCAGGTGCACGGCGCGCAACGCGGGCAGCGAGTCCAGCAGCCCCGGCGGTAGCGCCGTCAGGTTGTTGCCCGTCAGCACCAGTTCGGTGGTGCCCGGAGGGAAGGCGGCCGGCAGCGTGGCCCACGTCAACCCGCGCCGCCCGCAGTCCACGATCGTCCCTGCGCAGCTACAGGGCGCGGGGCAGCCCGTGGCCAGGCGGCCAGGCGGCGCCAGCAGCAGGAGCAGTAAGCTCAGCGCCCCGTGCAGCCCTGGAATGGAAGCGCCCGGTGAGCCAGGCGGCTGGCAGGACAATTGGGCGGTGTCCCTGAGCACCCAGAACACCAGGCCCGGCTCCATCCAGCCCCCAAGGCCTGCGGCCGCCTTAGCCTGCAAGCCTCTCCACCCTGACCACCCGCGCACCATGTGGAAGTCCCCTCTAAGTCTGACCCAGCTGCAACCCAAACGACCAGAGTGCCTCCCAACCTGGGTCTGCACCAGGAGCCCGACCGGACCCAGACTCACCGGAGCCCATGGCGAGAGGATGGTGGCACGCCTGGCTCTGGAGCGGGGGAGGTAGCGGGAGAGCCAGGCGATAAGGCCGCCCGCCCCTGCCAGGCCCCGCGCACGCCGCCCAGACCACAGTGCTGCATCCCCGCCAGAAATAACCCCGAGGCCGCGTGGACAGGCGCTGCAGTCGCAGATAGTGCGCTATCGCCACGGCCTGCAGGCCCCAGGGCTTCCGCTCCCACCCGCTCTCAGGGGCGCACGAAGCACTCGGACACCCGCTGCGACGTTCACCAACATTGTTGTCCTGTCACCAGGACAGGACGCAGCATTCACAACTAAACAAAATGGAGCACAGAGTGTGCGGAAGGGAGGAGCCATGCGGGGTGGAGGAGTCCGGGAGGCCCGGGGCTGGGGCGGCAGTGCTGCTGGGGAGACTCCAAGGTGCAGGCAGGGCAAGGCCGTCCAGGCACAGGAAGCTGCCAGGGGATGGCCCACCACCCGCTGCCCTGGGAGCCGTCCAGGTCCTGCCGGGACTGTGGGGAAGGGGCGTGGGCGTGCACAGGCATCCCGCCCCGCCTTCCTCGTCCCCGGCCTCAGCCTCCAGAGGGTTCCGGTTGGCTGCCGCCATCCGACTCCGCCCGGTGGGCGTGAGTGAGGTAAGGAAGGACCCAGCCGACCTCAGCACAAAGTGGGGTCCCAGCATACACTGGGTGGCCCCCAGGAGCAGGCCCAGGACACCTCCCCAGTCCGCTCTGCGGGACCCTGGGGATCCGTTTCCCACTTGGGCGCTTTGTGCGCCTGCCTGAGTGGGGCCTGAAGTCTGGGTACTCTGACTTTCCTGGAGGAGGAGGGGACATCTCAGAAGCCACACCCAACTTGGCTCCTGATCCCCCAAGGCCAGGGGGGCCCAGCTGAGCAGGGGCCATTGTCCAGGCCCCTCGGGAGCAGATACCGATGACCTGGGAGGGGTTGATGCTGAGAATAAATTAGGGTCAGCAGGGGCTGCGGCCCCATGCCTCCAGGTTGGGAACAGTCCGATCTGGGCCACTCTAGGTTTAGGGTTGGGTCCAGGTCAGTCCAAGAGCCGGGCGAATCCAGGGTCAAGTCCAGGCCCACCGGGCTCCAGGGGTGGGAGGGGCCATCCCGAGAGGTGGTAGATCCCTGGAGATGTGGGGCTGGGGTGGGGTCACTGGTCCTGCATTTGCTGCTTCATCTTCTGCAGCATTTCCTGCATGCGCCTCAGCTGGGGGTGGGGAAAGCATGGAGAAAGGGGTGAGAAAGGACAGGAGGCCTGGCCCTGCCCTACTCACCCTGACACCCCCCCCAACCTCTTCGTCCTTCATCCTGATGAGCTTCTCAGTTTCCGCGTCCGGGGTGGGCAGTGGCAGGATGGGAATGGGGCTCTCCATGCGGCTGTCCTGGGTCAGTTTGCTGTGGGGTAGGATGGGCGGCTCAGCGCTGGGGGATGCCTGGCCTACCCGGCCACTGCCAAGGCCCCGCCCTCCGGGCCCTCAACCCCCAGGCTGGGGGTTGGGGCAGGGTCCAGGTGTGGGCTGGCAGCAGGGACGACCCCGGGTTAAGGAGCGTGGCCAGGCAGGAGGGGCTGGGGCGCACCTGGTCATCTGCTGGATGCAGTGCGCTCGGTAGTTCTCGTAGTGCACGTCGCACGTCACGTCCTTGAGGTCGTGCATGTGCGTGCGGATGAGCATGTTGCGCAGCTTCACGAAGTCGCAGTGCACCTGGTTCTCCACTGCGCAGGAGTGGGTGGTGGGCGGGCGTCCGCTGGGGCAGCTTTCCCATCCCGCACCCCGTGCCCCAAACCTCAACTCACCCTCCACGATCCCCCAGGGGTACAGTCGCCCGCGGACCCGCTGCCCCTTGGCCTCCACCACCGTGTTGCTGCCTATGACGGCAAAGGGCGCGCTCTCCTGGGGGAAGGCTCAGCCTGGTTAGGTTGGCACGCTCTCAGCGCCAGCGTGCCGCAGAGGGGCGTGGCGCTCAGCACGGCTGCCCCTCCAGCGTCACCATCACCCACCTCTCCCCAAAGGGATCCTGGCCTCTCTGCTGCAGGCTGAAGCCAGAGCCTATGCAGCTTACACCCCCAGAGCCCCAGCCCGGCATGCTCTCCCCCTGCCCTCCTCGCACCAAGAACCACCTTGTCCAGCTACCTCCCCTTCTCCCCACAGCCAAGCCCTTGCATCCTAGTACTGATGGCCCTGCTGGCACTCTGCCCCTGCCTTGATGGCCACCTGCCCTGAGCTTGGTTTCCATCATCACCATCTAGCTGCTGAGAGCACCCAAAACCACCACCACCCCCGTAGCTCAGAATTCTAGGTGGGAGCCAGGGCTTGCTACAGCCCTATGGCCACTGGGCAGGGCGCTTCTGTAGGTGACCCGTGGGAAGAGGATCACCTTTGGATATGGGCAAGTGCTCCATGATTCACTAAACACCTACATGGGGCCAAATGACCCACCACAAGCCAGGCAGGAGCACGGGTGCTCCTCACACTCTAGCCCTAGGTGAAGGAAGCATAGGTCGTCTACTTCCAACAAATGACCCCTGTTCCCAGCCAGGTCTGACCTGGGTGTGTGGCCCTCCTCCGGCCCTGTGTGAATGGGTCAAGGCCCTGTAGTCTCCGGTTCTCTGACCCCTGCTACCTCCGTCACTGTGCCCCCACAAGACTGCATGGTACCTTCAATTCCCGGTCCTGCTGCTTGAAGTCCTCATCCTCATCTGAGTCGCACTCAGGGAACTGGTACACGTGGATCCCGAACTTGTCAATCTCCTCGCGGATCTGCGGTGGGGGAGGGCTGTCAGGTTTGAGGCCGGCCAGGTCCACCTGGCCCTCTGGCCGCAGAGTCCTGGGCCAGGCCCCTCTGCCTCGGCAGGCTCACCCGCTCCTTCAGCTTCCGGATCTCACTGGGGACGAGACAGTCAGCTTTGGCGATGAGAGGCACGATGTTCACCTTCTCGTGCAAAGCCTTCATGAAACCCACGTCCACCGGCCGCAGCCTGCAGAGGGCAGCCAGGGCACGGGCGTGGTGAGGGAGCAGTGGGAGTGGGGGCAGCACAGGGGGATACACTGCAAGTGGCCTCCCGTGCCCAGCCTTGTGCCCATCACGCACCCGTGCCCAAAGGGGGAGATGAAGTACAGGCAGCAGTGCACCCGGTTGTCTTGGATGTTCTTGCGGTTGAGGCCGCTCTCGTCGCGGAAATACTGCTCAAACTGCTGGTCCACATAGTCAGTGATGGGCTTCCAGCTGGGGGCGGGAGAGAGTGTGAGGCCAGGCTGCCAGGGCTGCCCTTGGGCACGTTCCCGGGCAGGCTGTGCTCACCACTCGGAGTTGTTGACCGCATCTCCGAAACCCGGCGTGTCCACGATGGTGAGCTTCAGCTTGACGCCCTTCTCCTCGATGTCCACTGTGTGCTTCAGGATCTCCACTGTCTGCCTGATGCGCTCTGCGGGGCGGGCGTGTTAGGAGGGGCTTCTCCAGCCTGACCCACCACCCATGTCCTCATCCGTCCTGGTGCCTTGGCCCTAGTCCTAAGGGACCCACATTGGGAGAGGAAAACTACAGGGGCTGGACCTGGAAGGGGGCCCTTCGAGGGGTCCCGAGGCAGGAGTCTGGGGGTCGGCGCCTGGGCTGTGTGGGGACCACTTACCCTCAGCACTAAGCAGCTTCCGATCCTTGTACAAGTCGGTCAGGAAGAGGCTGTGGACCAGTGTGGACTTCCCCAGGCCTGACTCACCTGCGCGCAGGTATGGTGAAGAGCTGGGTTAGGTTTGGGGACCCCAGGACTTAGCCTGGCTGGCCAGCAGCCCCGGCCACCACACCCAGGGGCTCGGCCCACTCACCAGCCACCATGAGTGTGAAGTCGAAGCCCTTCTTCACCGACTTGCGGTGCACCTGGTTGGGCAGTGTGGCAAAGCCCACGTACTGCTTGTCAATGTCCTGGGGGGAGGGTGGACAATCAGGGCTACATTGGGCTTCCTCCTGCAGCCCAGTGCCCTATCTCCTACCCAGCTGAGGATGCAGAGACAACCCCAAGGGTGGGCCACTGGCAGAAGTGGGGCGAGGGCCAGTGTGCAAAGGTGGGGAGGTGGGAAGGCAGGAGGGCAGCAGGAGAAGGCACTCTTGCCCCAGCCTCAAGAAGGGCTCTGCAGGGACCAGAGACTGTGTTGTGGGGTGGGTTCCAGGGTGGAGGGTGGGATGGAGATGTCTCACAGGGGCAGGCACAAGCCTGTCCTTCCTGCCTGGACAGAAGGCAGCAGGGCTGAGACCCCTCAGACTCACCCAAGGTCCTACAGGCGGGAGAAGTCCGGGGCCTGGACACTCACCCCTCGGGAGAATGCCAGGGGTGGGAGGCCCTGTCTGGCCCCGATCCAGCCTCGGGGGTGGCCACAGCAGGGCTCGGAGCAGGAGCTATTTATAGACCTCAGCACTGAGCCTCCCCCGCCTGCAGGCCTGGGCGCCCACCCCCAACGGTCCCTGGCTCTGCCGGCCCCACCACGTCCCGGAGCCTACGGGGGTCCTGGCCAGGTGGACGCACCCGCACCCCGAACCCCCCCCACACGTTGCACCCCCTCTCCATGCACACACCTTGAGCCGCCGCTGGGCCTGGGTCCGCGGCGACAGCAGCTGCTCCACCAGGCGGTCCTGGGGTGCCGCCAGCGAGTTCATAGTTGCGCCCCCCACGACCCTGCCGGCCGCGATCGGACCCCAGACCCGGTGAGCCTGACGGCCAGGTGACCGAGAGGGACTTACACGCGGGACTACCCTTAAGCCGCGTTCTCGGCCCCGTTTAGCGGACGCAGGAACTGCGGCTCGGAGAAGGGGCGTCGCCTATCCGGGGAACCGGCGACCCGGGAGGCCGCCCGAGCCACCCCCGGCCCCTGCGGACCCACCACGAGCTGCGGCGGCGGCGCAGCCTCAGGCCGCCCGGCGCCCGCACCCGGCGCGGAGGCGGGGCCACGCGGGCGCCCGCGGAGCTCGCGCGGGGACGGCCCCGCCCGCCGTCGCCGGGAAACAGTCGCCTGGAAATTGGGCCGCGGGCGGAGCCTCGGAGTGCTGGCGCGGAGGGCAAGGCCGAGCGGAGGCGCGGGCGGGCCGCGTGGACCCGCAGCCTCGCCGCGCACCCGCGGCCTCGGGCCTGGCGTCTGGGCGCCCGGGGCGCGGCGGGGAGGGGGTCCGTGGCTCCCACGCGCTCGGGTTCCGCACGCGGCTGACGGGGGCGCCCGTGTTGTTCACGCGGCGGGAGGGACGCCAGGTCACGGCGGGTCACGGGGTCCCGCGTGGCTGCGGCGCGTCCCGCCCCCCGGAGATGCGGCGCCGCTTCCGCCCGCCAGAGGACGCTCCCGGGACCCGCGCGCCACCCGCGGGAGCCGGCCCCACTGACGCGGGTCTCTGCTCGCGGACTCGCCCGAAAGCCTCCTGGCGGTGCCTGGCAGCCCCCAACTGGCCACCGGCTCACCCCGACCTGCATTCTCCTGTCCCCGCCCACACTCGCCCCAATGCGCGCACTAGAGGAATTTTTTTTCCCTTTGTGGCGCCCCAAGACATGCGGGGAACAGGACGTGCGCAGAGCCCACCTCTCTCTGGCAGTCCAGACTGCCCCCCCCCCCGGGGAGGGGGGAGTGGTTTGAAGGGTGATGGAAAGGGAGGGATGGGGTGCTGGCAGTCTAAGTAATGGGCGCCCCCCAAACTTGGAAGCCCTAGCCAGCCCACCAAAAAAGCGCCACCCACCCATGTGCTGCCTCTGTGGCTCCCAGATGTCCCCTCCCCTGGGGAGAGGGTGGTGTTGGGGGTGGGAAGGGAAGGGTGGAGTGGGACCCGTCCCCCACCAGCCCGAGGGGACACTCCCTTGCCTTCTGAAGTCCCCCACCCACTGTGATCCACAGAACTGGGTTCAGGGGACTGTAGAGCTCCTGTCAGCTGGGGCTCACCCTCGTGTGGCCACTCCAGGGACCACAGGAGTCTCCTGAGTGGAGAAACCATTCTCTGTGGGCCTCTAAATCCTTCCTCACCCCCTATCTCCGGGACCCCACCAGAATCCCAATAAACCAGCAGCAGGAAATGGGTCCTGGAAAGGCTCCAAGACTGGCTGGGGTGTCAGGAGCAGAGCCCCTCCCTCTCCCCATGCAGGCTGAGGGACCTCTACCCTGTCCAGGCCCTGGTCCTGTGGTGGGTCGGGCCTGGAGGCCGCTGGCACCTGGGGACAAGGAGCAGGTCCACAGCTGGCAACAGGAGATTCTGTCATGGTAGGACAAGGGGGTAGCCCCAGCGCCCCCAGCCCATTCCTCAGCCCTTGCTCCCAGAAAGCCTCCTCACTGGTCCCAGCCCACTGTGGCCCTGACCTGCGGAAGCCTCTGGTCTGAGTGCCACCCAACTTTTACCTGTGGGCAGTGCCTGGCCTGGGCCTCAGGCTGAGAGGTGTCTAGTGGAGTTTGTGGCTGGCAGACTGCCTCAGTTTCCCCATCGGTAAGGCACAGCCTTTGGGGAGGCCCAGGTCAGGAGGGGCAAGAGTCTCACTCCCAGCTCCCAATGCCCCTGCCCATCACTCAACCAGGCCCCATGGGGCCATGGATTCCCTGGGGGAGCCCTCAGGGAGGGGCCCCACCACCCCCTTTCTCTGGTCCCTAAGTCACAACAAACACTCCTCAGGGCTTCCTGAGCTATACGACACAACCTCGGCCCCCCCCCCCCCCCCCCCGCCTGAGACTCTCGAGGCATTTCCATTCTTAGAATCCATTCCGAGTCAGCTCTGGAAGCAGCAGCCAGAGCCAAAAGAGCCCCATCCCTGTCTGAGAGGAGGTGGAGGACACAGAGGACTGACAGAGCACCCCCACCCACTGCCTCTCCACCCCCTTTTGCAGAGTGAAAAGACAGCTTGGACAGGCTGAGGCCCAACAACAACTGCCACCACCATCACTGACAGTGGGACCAGTGAAGTTCCGAATGCTCCCGGCTCCCTTGGCACCCAACGGCACCCTCAAACACCTGGCCCTGGTCGTGTTCCCAGCCCCCTCCCCCACAGTGCCCTCTCCCCTCTGGGCCTGGGGGCAGGGGACGGGGTGAGGCTGGCTCCTAGCTGACCTCAAAGAACAGGCAGACGCAGGCCCAGGGGGGCTCACACCTCAGCAGGAGGGTCCCAATCCCTGCAGCCATGGGCAGGAGAACCCAGTTGGTACTGAGCAGCAGGACCCCCCAGCCCAGTGCTTCAGAGTGCCCTCGGCCAAGCTGGAGCACCACAGGCCCAGAAGTGGGGGGAGGGGCGGGTCTCCCAGCATCTGGCTCCTTTCCTCTCCCTTAAACAATAGCCTGGCACGTGCGTGCCTGCATCTTGGGCTCTGTCTGACCTGCTGCGATGGGGAGGCAGCTCCCAGGCCGGCCCCCAAAAGAGCCCCTCCCAGTGAGCCTCACCCATCCCCAGCAGGGCGCGTCCCTTCCAGGAGAGGGCACGGGGCAGCCAGTGAATCTCTAGCTCTCCAGCTCTCCCTCTCCTGCCCTGCCTGCTGCACTCTGGGCTGGGACTCCGGGTACTGCCCAGCATCTGTGGCTGCTGTGAACCTCCAGCCCTGATGAGGGCTGCCAAGGCCACCCTCGTGCCAGAACTGGGCCTTTCCTTTCTTCTCCAAACATGGCTGAGCTCCAGCTAGAAAGGCCACTAGCAGGGCAACCCCAGAGTCCCCAGCCCACCTGGTGACCAGCCCCTAGCCCACCCTCAGAGTCTCACAGCTTTGTTGAACCCTGAGCTTATTTGGGTTTTCAGCCCATATGTACCCACTGGGTTCGAGGCCCAGAGCTGAGCACCAGGATGACTCAGATCAGGCCTTGGAGGCTCAGAGTCGGGGGAAGAGGCCCAGCCACAAAGCAGTACACTGACATTTGTGTGTGGTGTGTCAGCGGGAGGGTGGGCATGAAGGTGCAGGGTAGTGGGGTGCAGTGGCCAGAGGCTGCCCTGTGAGGCTGCTGAGGGGCTGTGCGCTAGCTAAGTCCCTTCCTCCCACCCAAGCCCTGGCCGTGGCCTGCCACGACCATGGCCTCACCCAGGACCCCTGGCACATGGCCTACAGGCCAGGTCAGCAAGGAGGTGCTGGCACTGGACCAGTGGGAGGGAGCACTTGGCCCATCCCCCCATCCTGGGGTGGGGCCCACGGCTCCTGCTGTGCGGGTCAAGTGGCCAGGGGCCCCCAACCCACCCCTCCCCCTGCAGCCCCAGGAGCCCCAGCACTGCCCCCTGACCATGATTATGGGGACTGGGCTGGATGACGGCCGGCGGGGGCGGGGTCGCGCCTGGGCGCCGGCTGCGTTGGTGCCACAATGGGTGACAGCCGGCCGGGTCTGGCTGCAGGCTGAGCAGCGGCGCGCGCTTACCTGCTTATCCTCTGCCCGGTCGAGGTCGGGTCGCGGTCCGGGTCGGGTTCCGGGTCCGGGCGGGTCCGGGCCGGCGGGCAGGGGAGAGATGGAGAGACATCGTGAGAGGCGGGCGGGCAGCGGGGACAAAGGCGCGCGCGGGCAGGCGGGCGGGCGCCGGGCTCACCTGGAGTCGCCAGCTTGCTCTTGTACCGCAGACCTGTGCTCATGGTGGCCGCCGGCGAGAGACGTGCAGCGGCGGGCGCGCGGGAGGGGCGCGGCGACGAGTGGCGGAGGCCGAGGCCGGGCTGCAGGGTGACCGGCCCCTCCGTGCCGCCGCCGCCGCCGCCCGCCCCGCCCGCCCGTTCGCCAGCCAATCGGCGCCCGCCGCGCCCACGCGCGACCCGGCGCGGCCGGTGGGGGCGGGGACCCAGGCGCCCCCCCACGGGTACCGCGCCGCCGGCCTCCCGGCGACGCCCTCGCTCTCCGCAGCCCTGCCGCACCCTGCCCTGCCCTGCGGAGCCGGTCCCGCTGCCCCCTGCCCAACCTCCTCTGCCCCCCAGCTGAGGCCCGGACTCTGCGCTCCCTCCCCTCTGGCCCAGACCCCAGTCCGTGCCTGGCCTCTGGCCATCTGTCGTGGGCGCTTCTGCAGAGCCTGCCCCTGGCGCTCCGGCCCACCCCGCAGAGGCCGGCGGACCCCTCCTTACTCCATCATGGTCGACTTGGGAGTCCTGCTGCTGGCTACGGCGGGAAAGGCCACGCCCCGCGCAGAAGGCTGCGTCCAGGTGCCCGGTGCTGTGCGCACCTGCTCTGGAAGCAGACACACCTGGGCAAGCTGCAGAGCACACGCCTTGGGCAGCTGTCCGGCCTCTCTTTTCCTGGGCTGTAAAATAGGATTATTTGTGAACAGTAACTGAGCTGAGGGTGAGACAGGATTGGCCCTGCCCTCTCCCCCCAGTCCCTCCCCCGCTTCTCTGCAGGCCCACAGGAGTCCCTCCTGGGTTGTGTCCCTATCACAGTCCCAGGTGCCCTCTGCTGGCCGGGACATCTCCAAAGTGTCCCCAGGTGGCACATCTGAAGCCTTTGACCCCTCAGAAAGGGAGTGTCAGGCCTGTGGTCACCACCTCCCCAGGAAAGGGTCCCTGGGAGGGAGCCTGCCTGCTGCACCCAAGGGGTGCCCCAGGACAGCGGGGAAACACGCCTCCCTTCCCCACCCCACTTGTGCCCCTTGGTCCCTGGATGAAGGGTGGGGGGTGCTGCTAGGGCTCCTCCATCTCTGAGTTGCCGGCACCCAGCACAGAGCTGTTTGCTCAGTAGGTGAGAGAGTCCAGAGTCTTCCCTCCACCATATTCTGTGGCCAAAGCCCAGCCTGGCTACCAGGAGCCTTCCTCCAGTCCAGAGCTGTGACCAGTGCATAGTACAGGGACACTCCAGCATCCCAACCCCTCATCCAAAGCCTCTGGCCCAGATGCGTTTGGAATTCAGACTTTTTATGTATAGTCTACGTTATGTGACACTCCTCTTGGGTGGGGACCCCTGGCGCTGTTTGTCGTAATCAAACACATTAATTTAATTAATTTTCGT